GTGGAAATGTTCATTTATTTCAGTAATTCAACTCAAATTGTGAAACTCGTGTATTAAATAAATTCAATGCACACAGACTGAAGTAGTTTAAGTCTTTGGTTCTTTTAATTGTGATGATTTTGGCTCACATTTAACAAAAACCCACCAATTCACTATCTCAACAAATTAGAATATGATGACATGCCAATCAGCTAATCAACTCAAAACACCTGCAAAGGTTTCCTGAGCCTTCAAAATGGTCTCTCAGTTTGGTTCACTAGGCTACACAATCATGGGGAAAATGAAAATGAAAATGAGGAAATGTCTCTTGTTAAGCCACTCCTGAACCACAGACAACGTCAGAGGCGTCTTACCTGGGCTAAGGAGAAGAAGAACTGAACTGTTTCCCAGTGGTCCAAAGTCCTCTTTTCAGATGAGAGCAAGTTTTGTATTTCAGTTGGAAACTAGGGTGGAGAAGCTCATAGCCCAAGTTGCTTGAAGTCCAGTGTTCAGTTTTTCCACAGTCTGTGATGATTTGGGGTGCAATGTCATCTGCTGGTGTTGGTCCATTGTGTTTTTTGAAAACCAACGTCACTGCACCCGTTTACCAAGAAATTTTGGAGCACTTCATGCTTCCTTCTGCTGACCAGCTTTTTGAAGATGCTGATTTCATTTTCCAGCAGGATTTGGCACCTGCCCACACTGCCAAAAGCACCAAAAGTTGGTTAAATGACCATGGTGTTGGTGTGCTTGACTGGCCAGCAAACTCACCAGACCTGAACCCCATAGAGAATCTATGGGGTATTGTCAAGACGAAAATGAGAAACAAGAGACCAAGAAATGCAGATGAGCTGAAGGCCACTGTCAAAGAAACCTGGGCTTCCATACCACCTCAGCAGTGCCACAAACTGATCACCTCCATGCCACGCCAAATTGAGGCAGTAATTAAAGCAAAAGGAGCCCCTACCAAGTATTGAGTACATGTACAGTAAATGAACATACTTTCCAGAAGGCCAACAATTCACTAAAAATGTTTTTTTTATTGGTCTTATGAAGTATTCTAATTCATTGAGATAGTGAATTGGTGGGTTTTTGTTAAATGTGAGCCAAAATCATCACAATTAAAAGAACCAAAGACTTAAGTCTGTGTGCATTGAATTTATTTAATACACGAGTTTCACAATTTGAGTTGAATTACTGAAATAAATGAACTTTTCCACGACATTCTAATTTATTGAGATGAACCTGTATGTGCAAAAATACACTGTAAATACAGTATGCACAACTGATGAGCATTAGTTATTGAACTGGACTGAATCAACACTGAACTAACTTGAGCTGTATAATGACACGATTGGCTTGTTTGAATTTGTTACTACTGCTTTGAAACAATCTGTGCTGTATAAAGCATTAGAAATAAAGTTATGTATGCATATTCAGAATATATTTACAAAGTACTGTAAGCAGAAATGCAAATGTTTGTGATAATTTTTTTTATTTTGATTGTGACTTGGTCTGAAGATATGGTATATGAGCGAATGGTGTGCCTCATATATAACTTTGAGGGTGTAAGCAATTAAAAAAAAAAACTATTAGAGTATTTCAGTCAGGTTTCATGTAGTGACAAACAAAAAAACAAGTACATCTGACTTACTCCAGTTTGAGGTTCACTGTAAATTTGGATGTAAATGTAGCGCTTTGCAACAACCAAGAATAAACTCAGTGTTGTAATCCAGAATTTCATTTATTTTCTGCAGAGTGTCGGGTCCCTTACAGCAGAATGCGTCATTGGTTGCAGTGCTTGTGTGTGCTGTGTGAAACAGGCTCGGAGTCAGTTGCTATGCAGGTCAGAATTCATGTGCACACTGATCCCAGACCTGCTGTTAGAGTTTACTTGCGACCATCTTGATGTACTGCAGGGCGTTATGTGCTGCGGTGTTGTGGGCGTTACTGCTGGTCATCCCTGTGCCATGGCACACCGTCACCGGCCTGGTGGACAGTTCCATCAAACACTGGTACTGGCCGTTCACTGTCAGCTCATCTGCAAAACACACACATATATATCAAACATATCCAGCCCTGATGGCACAAAATGACACAAACTGAGAAACGAGAACCAACCGATGTCTATGTATGTGACCTGAAAGCCCAGCTCCAGTGAGATCTCCAGCAGCATCTGAATGTAGTCTGTGTTCGGGATGCTGAGCGGCGTCCTCCTCAGGAGGGAAATCTTCTCCCCTGTGGCCTGCCGTAAGCTTTCCACATACACGCGAGAAGGTGGGCTCTGGGGACCACAGGAGACGATGTGTCAAAACTGGACATGGGAGCACATCTGATCTGATTTAAAGGGATAGTTCACCAAAAAATGAAAATTCTGTCATTAATTCCTCACCCTCATGTCGTTCCAAACCCGTAAGACCTTCGTTCATCTTTGGAACACAAATTACGATATTTTTGATGAAATCCGAGAGCTTTCTGACCCTCCATAGACAGCAAGGGAACTACCACAGTCAAGGCCCAGAAAGGTAGTAATAGTCCAGGGAGAGGAATTGTTGAATAAAGTAGTTATTTTAGTTTTTTTGCACACCAAAAGTATTATCATAGCTTCATAACATTACGGTTGAACCACTGATGTCACATGGACTATTTTAATGATGTCTTTACTACCTTTCTGGGCCTTGACTGTGGTAGTTCCCTTGCTGTCTATGGAGGGTCAGAAGGTCTTATGTGTTTGAAACGACATGAGGGTGAGTAATTAATGACAGAATTTTAATTTTGGGGTGAACTATCCCTTTAAATCCCAGCTCCTCCACAGTACTTTCCCCTGCTGCTCATTTTGTGTTGCTGAGTGGAAGCACCTCATGATTTGATGGTGACTCATTCAGCCGTGATTCAATTCCAAAACAATTCCTCATGCTGAAATATTGATGCAACCGGCATAAGAGCACAAATCATTTATGAGCCAAGGTGACACATCAAATCCTATTTAAAGGGGTCATATGATGCGATTTAAATGTTTCCTTTCTCTTTGAAGTGTTACAAGCTCTTGGTGCATAAAGAAGATCTGTAAAGTTGCAAAGACTAAAGTCTCAAATCCAAAGAGATATTC